GCTACAGATCCTGGTGCCTTGATATCCCCTCTGATTGGTCACTATTCCCTTAGACTGGTTACTATAGTAACTCCTGAGCTCAAAGGTCCCACCTCAGGTTCTCCCCGCTCCTTCCCTATTGTTTTCCTACTCCCTTTGGTTAAACCTCAGCTGGGTAGCATACCTGTACATCAGTTCCTGCAAAAATACCTTCTCACAATAACATTTCTAATCCGCAATTCTGTTGTGGATTTTGGCCTGATCGATGGTTCCTACGAGCTTGTTCTTGAGCATGTTCTTGAAATTCTGATTTCCATAGTAAATAATCTACCCCAGAGAGACAAGCTCTAGCCAATGTTCTCCAATCATTAGGAGTAATAGCCTGATCACACAAGCTTTCTAGTATACTGACAGTAAAAGGAGCTGTAGCCCCATACTGTGCACATGCTACTTTCAAATCCTTCAAAGTTTTCAGGGGGAATGGAACATGCTGACGAACTGTTTGACCTGGATTTTGAGCATCAGGCACCTCTTGGACAGGGAAGGCTAAGTTAATGCCCTCTATGTCCTCATCTCCTCGCTCCCGGGCCCTGAATAGAGCCTCTTCTAACAGAGAGTGAGTAGCTGACTGAGCCAGCCCCAAGAGGGGAGGTGGCAGAGGCTGAGGAGGAGCTGTTGGCCCCTCTCCTTCATCCTCATGCTTCCTTTTACCCTTTCGTAGTTTTCTCTGAATCTCATCCAACAGTGTTCTCATCTGCTCAATACCATCATCTGTTAAGGCCATGAAGGTCTCCTCCTCATCACCTTCTCTGGGAAGTCATACAAATGATCTTCCTTAAGAGTGGAGAACTGCTCATTATCTTCCCTGGGCCACTGAGGTCTCCTATGAGAAGGCCCCACCAGTGAATCCAGAGACCGAGAGTGACACATGGACTCAACACAGACCCCAAGCTATCCCTTACCAAACCCCAGATGGAAAATGTATCCAACGGAGTATGGGTTGGGTTTCCAGCATGAAAGTCCTTAAGCCATTGCCCTACTCGCTCCCAGGTCTCCTGGCTGACAGTACCCTCCTCAGGAAACCAGGGACACTGCTCATGAACAAACTTTAAAAACCTCTCTACTTGAGCAGATGAGACCTTCACTCCTCCGCTAACTAACATAGACTTTAATATCTGAGCATAAAGCTGCCTTTCTCTGGACTCAGATTGCCCCATTTTTACTCCCAATTAATAAGAACCAAATTTCCCCAGGAAAACTCACTTAACACTGAGACTTCTGACTTCGCCGGCAACTCTGGGGTCCTCACGAAGCCCACCTTCAGGTCCCTGTTTGGGCACCAATCTGCGGTGACCCGCACCTCAGAGAGGGTTCGATGGGTAGAGGTGGAGTGGGATGAAAGACCAAGAGACAGGGTTCGGAGGACTGGCACAAGGCACCAGCAACTTTATTCTTTACACACACTGCTTTATAGCTAAGCTGTGAGTGGTCATGCTTCATAGGTCACCGCTAGGGTTGGCTTGTCATAGGGAAGTAACAGATTGTTACAAGCTGGGCAAGACTAGGCAAGCTTTGCCTAGATCCATCTATGTTTGACAGTTACTACAATAATACTTTTAGCTACAGAGGTCGTGCCTCGGTCAAGCCTTGTCTAGTTCCGCTTTGCTGCAAACTCTAATTAAGCCTTAAACCTTTCCTGAGCTTTGATCTTAAAACCTTCCAGGGTCGACATCGGGTAGAGTCCAGGACTTTGCCATGTCCTCTGGTCAGCTTAGACTTTGCCAGAAGCATGACGGTCCCCAACAGCTGCCTGTCCTGCTCTCTGTCCCTCCCGCCCTCCCTTGGACATGGCATTCGCCCGAAGAAGACCAACCAGCAACCCCAGCATCTGGGGTTCCGAGGTTGCTGACTGGCTTGCAACACTGCCCTCCTGCCCTCCGATTGTCATGGCGATCCAGGGATGCATGCAATTCTGCCCTAAGATTGCCATGGTGGATGCCCGCGGGTGCTCCCTGGCCTGCACCCCAGTCCTCCAGACCTTCGATTGCCATGGTGGGGGTCTGGGATTTATGCATGGCATCTGCTCTGGCCCTCCCACTCTCCAATGGCCAGAGTGGGTTTCCCGGGTTGTTTCCTGGCCTGTGCTCCGGCCCTCCCGCCTATGATCGCCATGGTGGGCATCCTAGGTTTCTGCCTGGCTTGTGCTCCGGCCCTCCCGCCCTTGATCGCCATGTTGGGTGGCCAGGGTGGCAGCCTGGATTGCGCTCCCACCAGCGCGTCCTCCCATCAACATAATGGGGGTCTGGGGTTGCTTCCTAGCCTCTGCCCCGGCTCTCCCGTACTTCAATTGCCATGGTGGGGTTCTGGGGTTGCTGCCTGGCTTCTGCCCCTCCTCTGCTGCCCTTCAATAACCATGGATTGGGTCCGTGGTTGCTGCCTAACCTGTGCCCAGGCCCACCCACCCTCGATCGTTATGGTTGAGGTCCGGTGTTGCTTCCTGGCCTCTGCCCCAACTCTGCCGCCCTTTGATTGCCATAGTGGCATACACAGTTGCTGTCTGGCCTGCACCCGGGCCCTCTCACCCTTCGATTGCCATGGTGGGGGTTCTTGCATGGCCTGCTCTCTGGCTCTTCCACACTCTGATGGCCTTGACGGCGGTCTAGGGTTGCTTCCTGGCTTGTGCTCCAACCCTCCCCCCTACAATCCCCATGGTGGTGGTCTGGGGTTGCTGTCTGGCCTGTGCTCTGGCCGTCCCACCATCGATCACCATGGTGGGGATCTGGGGTTGCTGCCTGGCCTGCGCCCCATCCCTCCCTAGCTTTGAATGCCATGGCGGGTGTCCGGGGTTGCAGGCTGGGTTGCGCTCCTTCCCTCCTGCCCCCGATCACCGTGGTGGTGATCCAGGGTTGATGCCTGGCCTGCCTTCTGGCCCTCTCATGCTCCTATCCACAAGGTGATCGCTGGAAGCTGGCCAGCAGCAACCCCGTCACCCAGGGGTCTGTGGTTGCTGCCTGTCCTGCAATACCACACTCCCGCCCTCCGATCGCCATGGCAATTGAGGGACGCAAGCCATCCCACCCTTCAATTGTTCTGGCCCAGCCGCCCTCAATTGCCATCGCGGGGGTCTGGAGTTGCTGCCTGTCCTGAGCCATGGCCCTTCCTCTCTCTGATCACCATGGTGGGGGGCCGGGGTTGATGCCTGGCCTGCAATCCTTCCCTCCTGCCCTCGATCACCATGGTGGGGATCTAGGGTTGATGCCTGGCCTGCCCTCTGGCCCTCTCACCCTCCGATCCACATGGTGATCACCGGAAGCCGGCCAGCCTTCAATTCCCATGGTGGGGCCTGGGGTTGATGCATGTCCTGTGCTTTGGCCCTCCCATCCTCGGTCGCCATGGTAGGTGTCCAGGGTTGCTGCCTGACCTGCTTCCGGCGATCTCGCCCTTTGATTGTCACGGTGGGGATCCGTGGTTGCTGCCTGGCCTGTGCCCCAGCTCTCCCAAGCTTTGAATGACATGGCGGGTGTCCAGGGCTGGGGGCGGGTGTGGTC